GACGTACCTCAGTCCGGCGATACAGGGTGGCCTCGCCGAACGCCCCCCGACCCAAAACCCGTATAGGGGCGTAATGCAATTCCTCCTGCTCGCCCCCCAAGCCCGAACCAGGACGGGGGCTGCTCCTACTGGACGACTCGCTTCCGAAGTCGGAGTTGATGGAGTTATAATGCCTCTCATATTGGTTCAGAGACATGGCTGCCCCGCTACCGCTTCCCGAGGATCGAAGAAAGGGGAGCGCGGGCGGCCCGTCTGCCACCAAGGATCGCGGCCCCTCACGCGATGATGGTGAGCGGCTTCCTGCTATTATTGCCGCCGCCAATACACCAGAGCTCCGGCTCTGCGCAAGCGCGGACCCCTTTTCCCGGCCTCAATCTGGGAGAGCCACCAGAGTTTCCCCGGACTGCCCCTTTCGCCGGCTTTCCCGAAGCTCCGAAGCCCCTCGAGCTCGGCAGCAGGTCGGCTACCGCTTTCGCTGACCCGGAACCATTTCTGCCTCAGAGACGGAAGGTCTCTTCACCCGCGATGGAGAAACAGGGCAGCCGGAAAAGCGCGAGAAGGGAGCGGGGTGGAGAGCTGAGGCGAAGGATCGCCTGGGTTTAAGAACGAGCCGGGCACCGTCCCGTCTCCCTATAAGCAGAGACGAGCGGGGCCTCCGCCCGCGTACGCGCCGTGGACGAGAACGAGGGGAGCTCTGGAGCTCGTTATGCGGCAGGAAGATGTCCCGAAACATGCGCTTAAGGAGGCAGACGAGTAAAAGCGGGAGGTGACAACCTCCGCCGGACTAAAGGAAGCAACTGAAGCAAGTAGAACTTGAAAAGTGTGGGCTGCACGGGAGGGAGACGACGAAGAGGCTTGGGAGCGCTCCGCTCCGAAATTTGCAGCTGTCGTGTTGATTTTAACTTCGAACTGCCCGTTTTTAGGATTAAGAATTAGGAAAAATTCAGAATTCATACTCTATGGCAGAGGTCTTCAAACTTGGCCGCTTTAAGAGTTGTGGACTTCAACTCCCAGAATTCTCCAGCCAGCATAGCTCCAGCCACCATAGCATAGCTGGCCGGAGAATTCTGGGAGTTGAAGTCCACAAGTCTTAAAGCTGCCAAGTTTGAAGACCTCTGCTCTATGGAATGGAAAAAAAAAAAAGAATTCATACTCTATGGAATTTGAATTATATTCCTTACTTAAATTGTTACTACCGGTATTAGATAATTAGATTTATAGTTTTTATATGCTTACATATTCAATGTGATTGAATATATTGAGAATTTATTTTCTTAAATATCGGATGTGATATTTTAAAGAGAATCTACATTTCACCAGAACAGTTTACTTTATACTGTTTAAAATTTACATTTAAAACATCCTAGCTGCTGGCGTACATTACAGCTGATTAGTGGAAAAAAACAGAACATACAAAAAGATAAGACTTTAAATGGCTGCATAGGTCTGTCATCAGATTAAAATTCTACACGTGTTTCCCAACCTTGCTAAGACTTCAACACTTAGCTGGCTGGGGAATTCTGGGAATTGAAGTTCACACATTTCAAAGTTGCCAAGGTTGAAAAAATACTGCAGTATACAGATCTCTGAAGGGTCTGCATCAAGACCACCTTTTTATTATTTGTTGCTTCCCTTTTCCTCCTGTACGAATCTTAAGTGCATGCTATGAATGCTGGAATTTGTAATATATCTCAGACTTAAGAATTCCTTCAAATGAAACTTTTTCTAAACTGTTCATGCATGAAAGTGTACATAATTTGTTTAAAGTAGTATACACGTTTCTTTGTACTACAGGTAGTCCTCGACTTACAACAATTCATTTAGTGACAGTTCGAAGAGACAATGGTACTGAAAAAAGTTACAACACTTACAAGCATTGCAACATCTCCATGTAATCAAAATTTGGACGCTTGGCAACTGGCATGTATTTATTACAGCTGTAGTGTCCTGTGATCATCTTTTGTGATTTTCTGATAAAGTCAATGGGGAAGCCAGATTCAATTACTAACTCTGTTACTAACTTAAAAACTGCAGTAATTCACTTAACTGTGGCAAGAAAGGTCATAAATTGGGGCAAAATTCACTCAACAACTGTTTTGCTTAGCAATAGAAACTTTGGACTTAATACAGGTTTAAGGCTCCTTGTATTAAGAGTTATAAATAGGGAGACTGGAAAACTGATAAAACACATTTTAGTGAAACAAATATAAACCATACTTAAACATACAATGGTGCATCCACACATAAGTCAAATTCTGTCTTGATTACTTCGGCTTTTCTGCAGAAGAAATCTCACATGGAACAAGTATTATTTCAAACAAAATCAAACATGGTATAAGTGCAACGGCTTGCACGCTGCATCTTCTTACATTGCAGCCTTATGGTATTTTTAGCTGAATCTACTTTCCCAGATGGACATAGAAATACTGACCTTCACCACTTACATTACCTTTAACAATAACATGTTCAGCACATGTATACAATTTTCAACAAATATCTCCCAATACTTTTAAAAGTAGCTGTCAACACTTTTAGACTCAAAAAGCTATCTATTCAGTTCAGACTTTGGAATGAAATAGTCAATTAAATGAAATGTAAAGGTTTGATCAATTTACAGACACACTGTGTTTCCCCGAAAATAAGACCCTTATATTTTTTTGAACCCCAAAATAAGTGCTTGGCCTTATTTTCGGGGATGTCTTATTACTTTGGGGCACATGGAGCAAGATGGGGCTCCTCTTGCCGTCTTACCTGATTTCCAGCTCTGTCTCCCTAACCCGAGGAAATGGCGGGGACCAGCTGTGCATGCATTTAAATATTTTTGGGGTGGGGCTTATTTTAGTGCATGCGCTCAAAAGCCCAATTGGGCTTATTATCAGGGGATGTGTTATTTTAGGAGAAACAGGATACTTTGAATAATTTCCCCAAAAATATCCCCAACCAGGTTTTATTTGGTAAAAACAAAAGTTTGATAAAACTTGTTTTATTTACTTGTATACCATACCAGTTAGGAGCAAAGACACTAATGACATGAGGGCAAAACTATTGCCTTACTAAAAGATGCTAATCCCGATTTGCTAAAAAGTGATAAAAGAATGAGTAAGAGGATACCACTTCCCAAACAATTTATTTTTCTTTAAATGTTAGGGATAGGGTTAAAGTCCATGTGAGGTAAGTCATCTTTTAAAGCATATTTTCCATCATATCTCAGGTTTAATTTCTTCCAAATATTTACAGAGAGATTGCCAGAGAAGTGTCTAAAATAATCCATGAAAGCTTGTAAGCAAAACTCACAACACAGAGAGAAACAAATCCAAGAAGAAAATTATGACAAATACTAAGACCTTTTCATAGCTGTGTGACATCCTACATTTAATATAGTTTTCTTGAGAGGACTTATTTTTGCAGTATATTTTGAATACTTAAAAAACAAGTTACTTTTGCTTTGTTGTCAAAGTAGGATTTTGAGACAGGAGCAGCAAATTGGGTTCACAACAGGCATCTTTCTGTTAATGGAGTCAAACTATTTGACAGAATTATTATGGAGAAGCCTATTTGTGAATTTAGTAATTATATTTTCTAAAACAGTAGGGCTGGGATTTAAGTAATTAGACTAGAAAAAGACTTTGTGACTGTTCAGCCAAAGAAGCTGCTCTCAATGAACTGATATTTTCTGTATAGAAACCGGAAACTGCATAGCATTTTAGGAGGTTTATGGGTGCTGGCCATATAGAATCAACAAGTGGGATTTAGAACTATTGTGGCAAAATATATTTTTTTGTCACTGATGTAAATCTTGTAAAGCGTTGGAAAAATACAAACTCTTTGAAAAAGTACAGATTATGTTTTATCATGCAAATTGATTGTTCTACACATTATGTCCCAATACATGGAAGAAAGACTGTAAGCATCTAACTATAAGCTGATTTAAATCTGTCCAATGCAGGTCTCATACAGATTAAGTAGTATTTTTATTGTTGAAAGCAGGAAGTAAAGGAAAAGTTAAGAAAATGAAAAGAAAAGAAAAAGCATGGATTTCAAATATACATTAGGGAAAAGCTTCTTATGATTAAATAAACAATCTCTTACAATTCTCAAGGTGCTTTTTCAAGAGCTGTTTTGAAATTGTCCCAAAGTTGTTGTTCAAAAGGCATCTGTCCTTTGTTGATAACAAAGAAAAAACAAAGAAATGTTGCCTTTTGAACAATACCTTTGGGACAACAATGAACTGGATGGCTGATAATCTCCATAGACATTTAGCAGAAATTATATCAGAGTATGGGATAGGAAACTTGAAGAAGCTATACCTCAAGTCCTTCTGTAATTTAAACAATGACATCATTTCTCTTAGGCCATTGGAAGTAACATAACAATATAAATATTAAATATTTTCATAGAAAGCTGTCACTGGTCATTCCTCCCCACTTCCTGAAATGTGGCTCCTGATTGTTTGCAATCTCTCTTTCTGTGAAATTCTGCTCCAAGTACAGATAGTCCTCAATTTATGACCACAATTGAGCCCAACATTTGTTGTTAAGTGAGACATTTGTAAAGCGAGTTTTGTCCCATTTTACGATTTTCTTTGCCTCAGCTGTTAAGTGAATCAATCCAGTTGATAAGTTAATAACCTGGTTGTTATGTGAACCTGGCTTCCCCGTTCACTTTGCTTGTCAGAAGGTCACAAAAGGTGATCACGTTATTAGGACACTGCAACCATCTGAACGTTGATCACATGATCATGGGGATGTTGCAAAGGTCGTAACTCTGAAAAATGGTCATTAGTCACCTTTTTCAGTTCTGCTGTAACTTTGAACGGTCACTAAATGAACTGTTGTAAGTAGAGGACCACCTGTACTTCTTGCCATTCCCTCACCCAACTCCATATAATAACAAGATTGGTTCAAATACATCACATTGGGTATTGAAGTGGCAGATACGAGTAACTCTGTGACATGTAAGATAACATCATTTAACTGTTTATGTAAACAAACAAAAAAAGATCAGTTTGAGACAATTTTATTTATTTGTGTCCAAAAATTCTCAAAATCAAACTATCACCTCTTCCAAATCTATTCAATAGTCCTGAATTTCCTCCTCAGTTTTTGTGCCAGTATTTCCCTCCCTCCATCCCTTTGGTGGGTAATTGTAGAAAAAGTTCGTTTTTGCAGGTCAGCTCCAAGTTGGCTCTCAATAGTCATTGCTAGGTCTCTGTGTTGTTCCCTGGGGTGTCAAAACAAGGGAAAATTAGCCCTTCTTGCTACTCAATCAATTTCTTAGCTTTGAAGAAATGCCGCAGATAAAAGACTTGCCAAGTTGCCAGTCCAATGAGGCAGAACATTGAAAAAATGCTGAAGTACAGTACTCGAATGTTGGTAGATTCTGAAAGAAAAAAGCCCATTGTTAGAAAAAAATGCCAAGAAAATTTGAATCTCACAGTCTATTATGTCTTCACTTGAAGTGCTGATATTTTCAGTAAAAAGCTATTTGGGCTCAGTGGACAAGATATAATTAAAAGAGGTTCTGTTTTTATTCAACCGATACAATTCAAATTAGAAAAAACATGCACAGGTACAGAATAGATGATATCTGATGCAACAGTAGTAACTATGACAGGGATTTAGGAGTTCTAGTGGACAGTCACTTAAGTATGCAGCTGCCAAAAAGCCATAAAGTCCTAGGCTGCATCAACAAGAGGACAGTATCAAGATCACATGAAGTATTAGTATCGCTTTATATGGCATTGGTAAGACTACACTTGGAATACTGCATCCAGTTTTGGTCCCCTTGATACAAAAAAGATGTTAAGACTTTAGAAAGAGTGCAGAGGAGACAACAAAGATGATTAGAGGAATGGAGGCTAAATTGTACAATGAACTGTTGCAGGAACTGAGAATGTCTAGGCTAATGAAGAGATGGATTAGGGATGACATGATAGCAGTCTTCCAATATTTGAGAGCCTGCACAGATTAATTTATTTTCCAAATCACATGAGGGCAAGACCAGAAGCAATGAATGGAAGCTTAAGGAAGAGATTCAATTAAGGAGAAATTTCCTGTCAGTGAGAACAATTAATCAGTGGAACGGCTTGTCTCCAGAAGTTGTGTGCTCCATCACTGGAGGTGTTTAAAAAGAGATTGGACAGCCGTTTGTAATTTCCTGTTTGATCAAGGAGTTGGACTAGATGACCTTCAAGGTCCCTTCCAAATCTGGTATTCTGTATTCATATTCTTAGTTTCATAACAACTGCATGTGAAAATGAGATATGCATGGTCAATAAACAGTCCTCAACATGTTTTGCTTATACTCATTGCTTCTAATGAATCATATACCTGTCTAGAAAGGGAAAGTTTAAGTTTTAGAAAAATGTTCTAGAATCAAGTTATAAAACATATTACAAAGCATGCACACAAGTTACTTCTGATCACATTTCAAATACCGAATTTGACTGTTCTTAGAACTAGATGTACGTATCCCTGACAGTGAGTGACATGGAAACCTCTTTCTTTTGACACTGAAAGTGGCAAAAAAAAATATTATATTGGCATAGCAAAATTAGAGTATATGATAACTAAACATGCAGAACAGAGATGTCTCTGTTCAGGTAATCTCAGTAGGATGGAAAGGGATTGTGAAGAGACATCTTTAAAAGCAGGATAGTTGTGGGCTATCATTCTCCTCTATTATCACCTGGTAATATTGTTAAAAAGCAAGTTGGTACACAAAATGTAGGTTCAGTCTAAGAACGTCTCACATATATTATCGAGACCTATGTGGTATATTTGACTCAACTCTGCCAACTTTCTTAATCAACCAAAAAAAACCAGCTAGAGAATATGAGGAATCATTGGGGCCCACTGAAATAACTCATTATCAGAACATTTCTCCAAACTGGGAGAAGCTATTGATTTATTTGGTTTGAAAGAAACAGACTAAAGATTTTGTTGGTGAGATCTCCACTCTGCTTATCTGACTTAGCTGGCAGAGATGGTCACAGGTGTAGTGCAGGAGAATAACTGAATATGAGCCACATACACTTCATTCATGTTAAGACTGTCCTACTAGTGTCCGATTATGTTTTCCTGGTCTCTATGACAACCATAGGTCTATGTCAGACTGTCACAGGGCTAACATATTAAGATAGTGAATACAGGGAGTCCTTGACTTACAACAGTTTATTTAGTGAGCATTCAATCTTATAACGGCACTAAAAAAAGTGGCTTATGACCATTTTTCATTCAACCATTGCAGCATCTCCATGGTCAAATGATCAAAATTCAAATGCTTGACAATGGTTCATATTTATAATGGTTGCAGTATCCTGGAGTCATGTAATCACCTTTTGCGACCTGACAAGCAAAGTCAATGAGAAAGCCAGTTTCACTAAACAACCATGTTATTAACAGCTGTGGCAAGAAAGGTCATAAAATGGGACAAAATTCACTTAACAACTGTCTTGCTTAAAAACATAAATTTGGAGCTCAATTGTGGTTATAAGTCGAGGACCACTTGTATTCCAAACTATTTCAGCCTCAAGATGTAAAAAGAGTGGCTTGGAGCTTTGAAGTGAAAGGTATAATTAGGTCACCTTTGGTAATTTTTTATTTCAGCATAATTTCCTTTCTGCAGAAATTGGGAATAAGTAACTGTAGGACCCTAAAGTCAGCTTTAGCACATGCAGGAGAACTTCAGCTTTGATGAACATAATGCTTGATCATGTTTATACTAGTGACTAGTGGGGTGAGCCTTCTCTATGCTTATGTGTACACTGAAATTCATCAGGTATCTACTATTACAGCTTTTAGAGACTTCTTTGCTTAGTTCTTCCCTAAATGACTGTCAGGTGTTTATATTTTTTTTTCCAATTCACCTTTTTGGTATGTTTTTGATTTGATATTAACTTATTGTTTTTATCTTGTATTTTATTGTAAACTTTGAAATGCAACTGTATGGGAAGTTATATTCTAATTAAATAATTAAATAAAACAATAGAATAATGGAATATTTATCATGTTTTGTATAAAAAACATTATTCATATTCTCTAGGCAGAGAAACATAACAGTGGTACTCGGAGGCCCACAAGTACATACCATTAGTATCCCGCATCTCCTCTTCTCGCTTTTTCATGTATGCAAAGTCATTAACAATAGATTCTGAAAGATCTTCCAGTCGTCGCAGCTCCAGCTCCAATGGTTTCAGCTTTTCCACTTTAGCAATCTGATAAAAGAGGACATTATATGTCAATGATCCAGAAGGTATCAACCCATTCCCATTTAAATGTGAACTTCTACTGGAACACAGTCCACTATGCCAACAAATAAACATAGCATACCTTAAGGAGATGCTTTTTATTAACATATTTTTTGTGAATACAGATAGTCCACATTTACTGACTGCAATTTGGACTGGCAATTGTGTCACTAAGCGATGCGGTCATAAAGTAAAGTCACATGACTACACCCGACATATGCCACCTTGTCAGTTCTGGCTCTGATTATTAGACAAATTGCTGCAGGTTGTTAAGTGACATGTCATGTATGCATGGCTTGCGATTTCCTGCTGCCTTCCCCGTTGACTTTGCTTGTCAGACACCAACTGTAAAGGTTGCAGATGGCAGTCACTTGGCCACAGGACGTTGTGACCGTCCTGAAACACCTGAATTGCAATCACATGAATGTGGAGATACTGCTATGATTTTAAGTCTCTTTTTTTTCCAGAACCTTCACTGTAACTTCACTGAACAATCACTAAACACCAGTGGTCAGTAAATATAAGGACTACCTTTCTACATCTCTTTCAGCAGGTTCCTAGGGCAATAAGGGCAGCTGAGAATTATTACATGTTTATTTATGCAGATGTGGTATAAACATTTCCTCCATCTATTGAGTAGCAAATTAATTTCAGATTATTTTTCAGCATATCCCATCTGTGTCTTCATCAGTAATATGAAGATTCCTGATCTCAAAATGCAGTTATTTCTTTAAACCTTAGACAAAACTGCCTTAATTGAAAGTAGACAATAGATACATCTGGATCAGCACTGTCTATTATGACCAGACATTTGTCTCCACATCCCGCCACTTGAGATCCTTTTAATGCCAGGAAGCTCACAGCCAATACTCCATCTTTTGCCACAATAAACAGTCCAGTTATTGCTTGGCTATGATGAGATTATAAAGAATGTATCCAGAATAAAAAGGGTAGAATTTCAACATCTCTAAAATCCTATTTCCTATCCTTCATCACCAAACACAAATGTTCATAGGCATAAAATTGGCACAAGTAATACCTCTAATATCTGGAAGTAATTCTACTGCTAAGTAACCAATTCTTTCCTAAAGCCAAAACCACTTTCTTTTTCCTATATAATACAGTATACAACTCTGGTTGAACACTACATGATGGCAGACAGACAAGGTACAGCAAACCAACTACCTGAAACCACAAAACATATTTACTATCCAATGTAGGTTTGTTGGTATAAGATACTTATTGTTTTCTTTTTAATTAAAAATGTAGTCAATTGGGATTGAGGTAGACACCTTAATTTTTTGCCCATTCTGTGTAGCTAGCAGGGGTTATCCTCTCTGCATGGCTATCACCTTGCTGGAATCATGGTAAAAGGGGAGATTAAAAATTCAGGATCACTCCACCTAATAATCCTTCACAGATGGTGATCTGGCCATGACAACAGCAATCTGCAACATTGAGGATACTGTATTATAAATGAGGATTAAAGATGGACTCCAACCTTGAAAGGGAAGTAATTTTCTATTCATTTCTCTCAACTTCACATATAAATAGCACTTAATGAGCAAGGCAAATATCCACACTTTCCTTCTTTGACAGTAATTTTAAAAAATGTTCCAGTTGCTATGATTCCCATAATTTTCCTAAACAGAAGAAAATTTGACTTCCCTCACTTACAAATCAAACTTTTAATTTTTCTGTCTTGATGAGAGTTTAGTGAGTTCTAGTTGATTTTACCAAACATCTAAATAATTGTTAATAACATTGAGGAATTTTAGGATACATTTGACTCTCAAATGGAAATGAAATCTCACATGACCAGAAAAATCACATGGAAGAAGCGGCTTTAAGAATGTTATGTTTAATTGCAAGAGGATTTTGACTGTAATCCTAAATATACTTCCTACTGAACGTTTTCTTCAATTTACTTCAAGTATTGTAACATAGATGAACACTGAATACATAATAACAGATTTAAACTACTATCAACAGTTTGGTTGTTGCCCACAAGAGGGCAATCAAACTCTGGTGTTTGCAAATATTATAGCAGCTTTTCTATAGAAATTTCACCTAAAGCAAAAAACAGGCCTAAAAAGTTATATTACAGGATTCTAGACAGGTATGATAGTTGCCAAACAACCCCTACATGTGATGGTAGCCTTCATCTACATTAAAATGAAGAAAAAAAGTAAAATGTTCTGTTTTCTAGACCATGATCAAGAAAATATATATTATTAAATAAACTTGGGAATCTCCATTCATAACATTCATAGGAACCACACTTTATTAAGCCAGCTGTAAATATGCTTTATCGATTTTTTTTCTCTTTCTGAAAGCCTTGTGGAGAAACATTTATGAAGGATCACAATGCAGGCCTGCAGAATTTAGGCCTAAATTATAGAACGTTGTACACATTTACTTCAAAGTAAATTTTATTGAATTTAATAGGGTTCTTCTTAAATGTCTTTGGAATAGTAGCCTTAAATGAAATCTGTTGTGAAATAATTCAGGAACTTATTTTAAAGTAAGATTTAATGTAGTTTTCATTAATAATAATGTATTATTAAAAAACTTTTTAAAGAAATGAACAAATGATCTCTAACCAAATATAGTTTAAAGATAATGATCCAATTTTACCCTTTTCAATGACCTCAGCAAATTTTAAAAACTTCAGTATGTACAAGCAATAGCCAGTGAAATTAGATGGTGAGCACATCAAAAAGAAGCATAATGTTTTGAGCCCAACGTTATGCATCAACAGCATCCCATGAGTGCTAGCAAAAAAGCAGAGACAAAAGCAGAAAAAGCAGAGACATACCTCCTCATAGTTTTTTGCTTCCACTCCGTGCTTCATATTCAAGGTCACAAGCTGGTCTGGCATCCGCCCTGTTCCTGGAAATGCAATGAAAGGACTCATTGTATGCAGTACTTTGGCTGCCAGGAAATTCCCAGCTCTGCTCCCTTCCCTATTATAGAGGGATTTATAGCTCACTCTCCAGAAATCTCTGAACAGTTAGATGCGGCCAAATTATTATTATAACCATAGAAAAATCGACAGGGTTCTCCTGAAGGAAGAACTCCCAAAAATAATATAAGAAACTGTTGCAAATATGCATGTGGAGAGTGCAGAATGCAGGCACTCCGATTTCCTGGCCTTCAGTCCACCCGCAAAGAGTAAGAAAATATATAAGTACAATTTAATAATGCCAGATTAGTTAGCTGGAACTAACAGGAAAATTCTATCCAAATGGAAACAGTAGAAAGCCAAATTGTATATTAAATGGAACAGATGAAATTACTTTGAAAAGCAGACCACCTAGCCAACATCATTTGGGAAATTGCTAAAAATACTAGCTTGCTCTGTCTTTTTTTTTTCCCAATTCAAGCTTTACCATTACCATCATAAATAAACCTTAAGTAAGTGGGCTCGCAAAGAGCTTTTTTATTAATACTCGGTGAATGTTGCAAATATACTCATAGGTATTTTTAAAAAGTATATCTTCATCTCAACTCCAAGCAATAAAAATCACATTCTAAGGCCGTGATGGTGAACCTATGGCATGTATGCCACAGGTGACACGCGGAGCCATATCTGTGGGCACACAAGCGTTGCCCTGGCTCAGCTCTGGTGCCAGCTGATTTTCGGGCCTTCTGGGCCCACCGGAAGTCGGGAAACAGGCTGTTTCCGGCCTCTGGAGGGCCTCCAGGGGAGTGAGGAATGCCGTTTTTGCCCTCCGCAGGCTCTTAGAAAGGCTCTGGAGCCTGGGGTGAGCGAAAAACGGGCCTTCCTGCCCCACTGGAAGTCGGCAAACGGGCCTTTTCCGGCCTCGGAAGGGCCTCTGGGGGGTTGGGGAAGGCCGTTTTTGCCCTCCCCAGGCTCCAAGAAAGCCTCTGGAGCCTGGGGAGGGCAAAAAAATGGGCCTACCGGGCCCCCTGTGCCATCACGTGCCAAAAGCGCAGGGACCGCGGAGGGGGCACATGCACATATATGGGGTGCATTGAATTGTGGGTATGGGCATGCGCCAGCGTGACACCCACTTTTGGCACATGACAGCAGAAAGGTTAGCCATCACTGTCCTAAGGCTTTAACCTTTTACTTACCAAGCTTTCTACTTTGTTGTTCACAGTGCAGGTAATGTTTAATCACTAAAGTACAGGTAGTCCTCAACTTACAACTGGTCGCTTAGTGATTGTTCAAAGTTCTGACAGATCTACCTGAGGCATATTTATGACTCAAATTTGAAGTTCCAACAGTGGGGAATCCCTCCAGTCACAAAACCATATTTAGGGTCTTGGCAACCAGGCCTATTTACAGTTATGTGACTGCATTTTTTGACAGTTTTGCTGAAAACCATCATTTACTTCCGCCTTTCAGCAAAACCACATTCATAATAAACCATTGGTTTGCTTAACGACCACAGATTTCTTTAACAACCATGGCAGAAAAGTCAAAAGGATGATTTTATGACTGTCACAAGTTAAACCATGATGGTCGGGTTCCATTAACAGATTCTAATTCAACGACTATCTGTAACACTGATTTATCTGCAAAAATGAAGCGTTATCATCATTTCCCTATCTTAAAGTGATACTATGATTGCCTTTCTGATACTGCAAGGAACTAACATCCTCTCTTAAAATAACCAAGGGGGCGAAATTAAATTGGTTATGATAATTCATGTATTGAGTTCAGGGGTGAAATGTAAAATTTGTTACTACCAGTTCTGTGGGCGTGGCTTGGTGGGTGGGTGGTAATGTGACTGGGTGGGCGTGGCCAACTTTTTTTTTTTAATTTTTCAAAACATTTTTTCTGCAAATGCAAAAAAGTGCTTTGAAAAGGCTCTGCCGATCAGGCAACACAGCTGGGATCGTCAGAGCCTTTTCAAAGCATTTTTTTAACCACCTCTTCCGCTGAAGAGCTTGCAGAAAAAAATGCTTTAAAAGTCTCTCTGATGATCCCAGCTGAGTTGCCTGATTGTCAGAGAGACTTTTAAAGCATTTTTTTCTGCAAGCTCTTCCGGGGAAGAGGTGGTTAAAAAATGCTTTGAAAAGGCTCTGACGATCCCAGCTGAGCCGGGTGATCATCAGAGGCTTTTTTTTTACCGGGAGCATTTCACCCCTGATTGAGTTCTGTAAAAAGGATGGTAGATCAGGAAAGGGGAAAAAATGGAAAATCCACCTTCAGTTGAAATCTGACCAATTTGAATGTAAATTATGGCATGTTTACTTAAGTCCTAAAGAGTTAACAGGGCTCACTTTCATTAACGTACATATATATCTAGATGAAAGAAGGAAGACCACCTGGAAAAAAAATGTTCTATTTCCAGAAATTAATGAATAGGATAAGGCTGTATACATCAGCTTAGACAACGTCAGTTAGTTTGAAGAAACAATTATTTTGCTTTTGGTCTTTCATTTCTGGGGGAAGAAAAATATTTTCTCCCTTATTCGGATTTCAAATCACCTCTTTTTAATATCCATTTTTTCTAAGACCATGTTTAGTTTTTAAGTGGAAAATATAAGAAATGAAGCTTACAAAATAGAAGTTATATGGCAGAATAACTAGGGCTATGTTAAGTCAGACATATTATTATTGAAAAGAATCTTGAAAATGGGACACAAGAAGGCGCCATCACAGGGGATCCAACAATCACCAACTGTTCAGTTTAGCATCTTAGGGAACAGATTTTAAATGGAAAAACAGCATGAATATGTGAGTTTGATTTTCATGCTTAGAAATAAGGGATTTTGTATTCTGAACTCTTTACCTTGCACAGAAAAATAAATCAAGTTTAGGGGGAAGGAGGTTCACGTCCTGCTCTGTCTTCATTTCTTGGCTAGAACATGCATGTGTGTTCCCCAAGGAGAAGGCACCAGCATTGGCAATGTACCATAATACAGCAATAGCAATTTCTGGAAAACCTGGAAGCCGGTGGTAGCCAAAGGCTTTCTTGCCATGAAGCCCGATGTATTATAATGAGAAGCAAGCAAGCAAGCAGAGTGGTAAACAGAAGCACCTGCATATACATCTGGGGGAGCCACAAAATTAGCTGCTATGGATTCAGTGGAGGAAGCAAGGACATTTTACCTCTCTGGCCTGCCTCCTTTGCTTATAATAAATTCTTAATGTTTCATATAATATAGTTGTTTCACAGAATGTATGCCAACATTTCTGCCTCAAGGTGGAAAAATGTTGTATGTTTTTACTCTATTTCACAAATAGATGGCAGCACAATACAGTAAGAAATATTTTGTGTGGATAACAGAAAGAAATGCCCTCCTTCAGTTGATGGAAATGGTGCTGCTACCAATAATAATTTCTAATATACCAAAATGTAGCTTTCAGAATAGTTGAGGGTAAAAAAAATGTGTCCCCAATTTCTATCTCACAATTGCTACCTGTTCCTATGAAAATGAATTCTGATTAAAACCACATAATCAATTTGGACCCATTTAAGAAACAATTATTACAATTGCATTCAAATATGTAGTCAATAAACATGACTGAAATCAACAAGATTTCAGTTTGAATTTATATACAAAGAATTGCATTACATAGACTACAAAAATTTTAGCAACCTTTCGGTTCTTAGATTACAACAGTAGAAATGCACAAGAGTAGATCTGGAAACTATTAGGACAAACAATTAAATAGTAGGAACTATCAGGATAATGAATACCTACAGTACTTTCAACATCTCATGGATAAATACAAAAATATTTAGAATAAAAAAATATGTTGGACTTCCAAAAATAGAAATCCACATTGCTGATGAGAAGTTTGCAAAATATCCTTTACAATCATTTTATGATTTTATGTTACTTTGTTTATTTAGTTTAAAAATAGTATTTAAAATAAAACTACAAATAAGGAAGTATAGTATATTTGATGGGTAAAATTACAACATAAACAAATTATTCTTTTCACTTTAAGGAAACCAGAATGTCCAATAACTCGTTTTGACAGGTTTTTTGTCATCACAAAAAGAACTAACAGAAGGCAGGATCCATGTGAAAAATTGTTTGCCAAATATTTTTGCCACAAATCTTTTCTTAATCCATATAGAATTGATGAGTCCTATAAAAATCAAAATGGGATCAGTGCATCATTTGCTGGTAGACCATGGGTAGAATTAATTGCCACTTATTCCCCTGTAAATCACAGAAGGATTAAGAGCATTTTCAAGTCTCAGCAAATACACTTAACCAGAGTAAGTATAGATGTTGCTTTCAAAAAGCACATTTAACATTTTCAGTATACAACTGAATTACATTCAGTACCACTCTTATCCACTTTCTTTTCAATTGGCACTAAATATACAAGAACACTAACTGTCATTGGAATGCCTTGATTTTCTCTACATAGCTTTTCTATAGACAAAGATTGGGCAGAGGTGAATGTTCCTTCCTAAGGCATACGGAGTACAACAGTCCTAGAGTGTGCAGTACTGAAGAGTCTTGTTTTAATTTCCTTCCCCCTTCTATCTTTTTATCAGGGGCTTTTTCTTCACCTATCAGGAGCTCCAACTCCAATATCCTGGAAGCCAGAGAAAAAACAGTATGCCTTCAAACTGTTCACTGGCCCTAGATCCACAGGAACCTTTCAGAAAATTTGAATAGAAAAACAAGATTAAAGAGTGAAGAACAATAACAAAAGCCTCAGATCTGACCAAATAATGATTGAATGTCCGTGTAAGAGTTATTTTTAAAGGCATCCTTGAGTGAAGGACACAGAAATGGATATAATAATAATTAATCAAGTTAATCTGATAGATGTGACTGGTACATACGTCATTATTCTCAAACTTTAGTATATGCTAGAAATATGAGGAAAATCTGCAAAAATAGGAGCAATTTTGCAGCTTGAACAGCATAGTAAATGACGCAAGAAAAAAAATAATTGTGCACATACTGTGGGATCCTTATAAGTCTTACAGGCCACCTCTTCCCTCTATGGGATATTTGTACAAAAAAATTGTCTTTCACTTCCTCTTCCCCATTTTTGTGGCTACAGGCTTGAGAAATCCCAATTGCTCAAACTCCACCTGGCTTAACAGCTCAAATAACTGTTATCTTAGTTTTGACTTCCCCAAGCAGAAATAATTATACTGCTGCCTAAACTGCCAAAGAATGTCCATCTATTTTATGAACAGCATGTAAAAAAATTATTGACATGCCTAATAACCTATAATACTCAAATCGTATCAAGTATCTGGAATTATCTTTTATACAGACTCTACCCAGGCTGCTGTGTTGATATAGAACTTGATACTTGTCAAGTAAGAATCTCTACGTACTTTTTTTGTAAAGTGCAGGTAATTCAGCAACATCCTTCAAAAAAGTAGAAACAGGCTAGCAAGAATTCAATAAAATCTCAGTTTCCCTCAGTGCTGAGTGCACAGCATTTATAAGTTCAGAATGCAGTACAGGAAACACAATACTCAGAAAATTCATTATGGCAGTGAGTACAAAAGCTTCTTCAAGCCCAATGCAAACCTTCTTCAAGGGCTATCTCTCCCTGAGCAGAAGCAGTATGAAAATGACAAGAGGATTATGCACTACTTCTGCTGAACTCTGATCCTGTAATTTGACAGAAAGATGGATAAATGCATCACTTCTCAAGGAACCATTAACTCCAAAGCTTGTTGTGGAACTGCCCATCAGTTCTCGGTACACAACCAATGTCTTTTACACTTTTTTTTCCTCACATGAAACAAAACAAAGTGCTAATGAAAGGGATCCTCAACCTTGCCACTACATATTATGTACATATCAATAATAGGTCTACCTGCCTGGCCCAAGGATATTAGCAGATATACAGTAAACAGATAAAATTCCATCACCAAGGATTATAAAGTGCTCTAGTATCAGCAAATCCAATCTAATATCCATACTGAATTCCTACAAAACAAAGACAGAAAAAATAAAAAGCAGGCAGAAACTTTCAACACCTCTTATGTGATAAAACATGTGAATCAAGACTAGAGAACAAAAAAAATTACTTCATGAAGAAGTTAGAACTGAGGTCCCCAACCCCTGGTCTGTGGACCAGCACCGGTCTGCGGCAGGCCAGAAACTAGGCCACACAAACAAGCGAAGCCCCATCTGGGGGATACAAGTAGCATGCAAAACCACACACCCTCTGCTCCATGGAAAAATCTCTTTCCATGGAGCCGGTCCTGGTGCCCAAAAGGCTGGGGGGCACAGAGTTAGAAAATGTAGCAAATATCTTATTTACTGAATTTATGTAGCTACCCTTTTTTACATGTATGTGACTGCACAATGTACAAAATTAAAGCTAAATATTCAATATAATTTATCCATTAAAACAATTAAAATCAATACCGTCTCCATGTTCTCCTGCATTTTCTGGCTGGAAATATTAAAAATTATTGGTTGTGCCCATATTTTGTTAATTTTGAATGGGGATTTTTTTTATTGAATTAAGCTAATTTGTTATTGAAATAAATTACTTGATTCACATAAAATATCAACATAAACTATGGGTTACAAATAGTAAATGCATTTCCTAACATAAGTGAAAAAACAATCTACAAACCAGTCGTAGCAGCTGAGTGAGATTTTATCTGTCACATACTTCTTTGATAAAGGTGTTCTTATATTTCATGCATTAAATTGTTTTTCTATTCAGCATATTATAATTGCACTATTGGTCAATTGCAAGCATTTCTAGAAAAAAAATAATTGATCTTCATCAGTAATTTTGAAAGGTCATGGTCTTAGACATTTCAGTCCAAAAGACCAAAAACATTTGGCAAAGCGGATACCCCTGGTTCACACCCAAAGTTATCTTTTAAGTGAATTCTGCAAAGAAAGTAAAGAGGAACTTGTCAAAAGCATCTAGCAGTTTTTCATACTCACCCACAGGGAGTTTGCTTTCAAAGCAAGCCTCAAACACGTCATAGTCCTCTGTGGTGAAAGCAAATTTGCCCTTAATAGCATCTTCCTTGACATAAAGGATGTGCCCAGCTGTGTCAGTAATCTGTAAGAAAAAAATTAAAAATTAAAGAAGCAAGCAGGTAAATAGCTAAATATTGGGAAAGGTGGAATCTTCCAACATGCAGTTATTATTTTCCTTTGGGTCATCTTCACTGCTGAAAATTTAAATTTAACTGAATTGTGATTGTCAAAAAAGCCATGGGTTATTATCCTCTATCATCTTAAATAGTTTATATTAGTATAACGGTATCCACTATGAAAAAAGCAGTGTCTCAAAAGAGGGCATAATATAATGGGAGACCTCATTCAATTCATTGAAAGTAAATTAACAGTAGTTCTGGGAAAAGTGAATGATAGGTACATTTAGCTACACAATTAACTTGGACAAACTACATGAACACTTTTCCCCACTGCCAAAATCACAATTTATCAAATACTAAATTGTATTCTTAGAACATGTTAAAATATATTTAAAGTCTCATTTTGTGCAGTAAAAATTTATAAGAATGTTCAAATATGGTTCTTTTCGTACAAAATTATATAACATATGATATTCTGAACTAGATCTTCCCAATGTCTGGCTGCATCTACAATTCTATTAAACTGGCAACAAATGACAGCTACTTATATACCATTAGGCATATTGCTTATAAAACTGAGCAAACTGCTTAAAAGTCAACCCACACAACTATGGGGGTACAATAAAGAATGAAAGATGTTCCATAAATGCTTATGCAGTAACCACACCAGCTCCACTCCTTCCATACACAAACACAGTGTCAAATTGAACAATAAGTGCCCACACACAGTTGGGACAAAGATGCTAAAGAACCTCTCTGTTACACTGGATTAACTCCTCCAGAATGAAAAGTATATGTTTGTGTTGAGATCGCTTGGTAAATATGTAAACATAACAATGAATTAACCTGAACAAAAATGACATAATGAAAAGCAATCATAGTAATTAAAAAGTGTTCTGCACTTTACCTATGTTCTTCTATACAACTGTTCCCTGTGCAATCTGAAAATTATTGTGTGATTGCTAGTAAATGGAAAACAGCAATGACAAATAAACCATTTATGCAATCAGCTGTGCTAAAGCTTTTTAAAAAACTATTCTGGATGAATAAACACCCTATGCTCTGAAACTATCTGGTGAACCACCAAAATTGGGATATTAAAAACAAATTGCTGGTGCACAGAATCTCAGTGCACTATTGCAGTCTTCTGGAAAAAGCAAATTGCTAAAGCGGGACTTCAAGATAAAAAAATAATATAATAGAAATTTACACTTTTTGAGTTTATAACCATAGGATCCCTATTAGTCAAAAGAAATGTGCTATACATAGATCTTTTAGAACTACCAAAAATGTTTATTGCCTTATTTTTCTTAAATATATGTAGTTAAAATGTTTTAATACTGTACACTGAGAGCATATGCACTGGAGACAAATTCCGTAATCACACTTGGCCAATAAAGAATTCTAATTCTATATTTTATTTTGAAGAAGCTTTATAATTTGTACATCATCATTTGAACATATTCAAAATAAGTATCTGTGTTTATTATCTGAATCTGATAAACTATGTAAAAAGAAAATATGAAATGCTTCTGAAAATTAAGTATAATCTGCCTTGTTTACAAGAGACACAAAATTACCTTCAGATTAATATGGTAAATACTAAATTATAAAAACAGATGGCTGCCTGAACTGCAAAAAATTCTGACAGAATTAACAGAACATTAACTTTCTTTTGAATAGTGAAGAAAAATGGAGATTCCTTCAAGTCACACTTGACTCCTGGTGCTTAAATAGATAATCTATTCAGTTTTCCTGGCAACAATATATGAATCAGTTGCATCTGTCTTCCCCCTGAAATGTTTTTTTAAAACTTCCAAGCCTTAAAATTGTTGGTCTGGCCCTACTAGTCTTGTTCAAGAGCAACCAAGATCACCAACCAAAATAAGGGATGGCTTAGTTCTCTTTTATTCAAAAAGAGCACTTTTACCTTGACTCTCCTTACTCAATTATTATGACAAAAAGTCAAAAAACAGGTATTTATTTATTTATTTATTTATTTGTTTGTTTAAATTTCTATACCGCCCTTCTCCAAATAGGACTCAGGGCGGTGCACAGCCTAAGTAAAAACAAAACATACAAAATTTAAAAAACAGTATTAAAATAATTAGATATTCTGGCCGTAAATTAAAACAACCCAATTTAAAACCAATTTAAAATTTAGCTCAAGCCAGCCCAGCTAGTTGAAATAAATAAGTTTTCAGGGCCCGACGAAAAATCCGGAGGTCTGTTATTATACGTAACTCCGGGGGTAGGTCGTTCCAGAGGGCGGGTGCCGCCACAGAGAAGGCTCCGTACCCCGGCCCTAAGCCATGGAGCGCTTTAAAGGTGGTCACCAACACCTTGAAGCGCACCCGGAAGACTACCGGGAGCCAGTGCAGCTCGCGCAGGAGAGGTGTCACATGGGAGCGCCTCGTCGCCCCCATAATCCCCCGCGCGGCTGCATTCTGGACCAGCTGGAGCCTCCGGGTGCACCCCAGGGGGAGCCCCATGTAGAGAGCGTTGCAGTAGTCCAGGCGGGAAGTGACTAGTGCCTGAGTGACTGTGCGTAGAGAGTCCCGATCTAGAAAGGGGCGCAACTGGCGTATCAGGCGAACCTGATAAAAAGCCCCCCTGGCCACGGCCCTCAAATGGTCTTCTAAAGACAGCCGTGCGTCCAGGAGGACGCCCAAGTTGCGAGCCCTCTCCGTGGGGGCGAGTGATTCGCCCCCAATAGCCAGCGATGGCATCTATTTACAGCCATTCATTTAGTGACCATTTGAAGTTACAGCAGCAAGTTGTTAGATGAATCATCACAGTTGTTAAATTAATAACACGGTTGTTGAGTGAATCTGAGTTCCTATTAACTTTGTTGAATGAATCTTGAGTTCCCTATTAACTTTGCTTGTCAGATAGTCACAAAAGGTGATCATAGGACCCTGGGACATTGCAAATGTTATAATGTTATAAACATGTCAGTTGCATCCAAAATTTGATTATGTGACTACGAAGATGTTTCAACGATCATAAGTTTGAAAAACGGTCATAAATCACTTTTTTCACTGCCATTTTAACTTTGAATAGTGATTAAATTAATGGTTGTAAGTCAAGGACTACATGTACAAGCTTCCAAGCCACAAAGAACTTTGGTTTTGTTTACACAGTTCCACTTAATTCAGAAGGATTTATAACACAGGTGTCAAACTCACATCCAGCCCACAGGCAGCCAATTTGACACCCCTGGTTTATAAGGATGATTCAAAATATAGCTGTAAAAATATTTCCCTTCACATTTAGTAGTCATACTATTAGATCCCAGAAAATGTCCATGAATGCATTTTCACACACTGAGGGAAGAATTTTACTTGGAGAAGGAATAATGTATTCATGATAAAAATAACAGATTCAACCAAATTTGTGCCAATTTACATTCCTCCCCCCCCCCCCCAATATGGGATCATGTAGGGATTACTTCAAAGAGTCCTACCACTTTTGGTAAGAATACCAAATTCTATGAAGCAAGCTTTAATATACAATATTGGAAATTCACAATGCTTTGGTATTTTCAGGGCATGGACTTAGTCTTGGCTTCCTGGCATCATCACTGCAGCCAATTTAAGACTAATTTAAGACTACAAACTACTGCACCTTATCTCTCCCCTCTTTCTCTGTGAAGCAGGAGGGGGGGGGGGGAAACACCCTTCTAGTCTTTTCCTATCTGAGTCACACTTCCTACTGTCATATTATTATTGACAGAGAATAAATCCTTACAATACTGTGTTTTGGACTCCAAAACAACGGGGATGATTGAGACACAAGACAAAAGCTCAGCTATAAAGTCAGGAATGAATAAGTTCTAAGTATGGGAAAATAAGAACCAACGAGGGAAGTAAAGCAGAATCCTTTTTGCCTCCCGGACTTAGTGAGAGGCCCAGGAACCGTTGTGAGGGCCTTATACGTGGTATTCTTCCCAGCGAGTACACAAAAACTGGCCTTTTTCCTCCTTCCGTATTCAGCCTTCTTGGGAGACACAGAGCGCGATGACGTGTCCCAAGATGCGGAAGGGAACGGGAATACACGCATGTGGTCGGCAACACGCCGGCCCAAGGAGGTACCAGGTAGCAAGCAGGGAAGGTTAAGCATCCCTTTAGGGCAGAGGTGGGCAACTGTGGCCCTTTTACAACCTGTGGACTTCAACTCCCAGAATTCCTGAGCCAGCTTGGCTGGCTCAGGAATTCTGGGAGTTGAAGTCCACAGGTTGTAAAAGGGCCACAGTTGCCCACCCCAGCTTTAGGGACAATCTCGCAGCCTTTCTAAGGGCTAACCTGCCCGGTCAGCCCCCCACCCTCCCTCGCCCCCGCCCAACTGCCCCGCTTGCTCTCTCGCCGGCCCTGCACCTTGAGGTTTGCTGACGGGCCGGTAGACGAGCCCGGAGGGGGAGCCACCTCGTACTCGCCGGTGACCAGCTTGTCGCGGTGAATCTCCTCCCGTAGGCATTTGCGGGCTTTGCCCGGCAGTTGGAAGGAGATGGGCTGAGCGGGGCCCGGCAGCAGGACGAGCAAAAGGAGCGTAAGCAGGGACGTCAGGAGAGGCGGCTTGTGCCGAAAGCGGCCACGGAGCAACGAAAGCAACAGCATGGCGGCAGATCCGAGGGACACAAGGCCGGATTTTCTGCCTCCACCTACAGCACGTGACCGCGTCGCTCGTTGCATGATGGGAAACGGGGGATCCTCGGCGCGGCCACCGAGACCAATTGTGCTAGAAGGGCCAGAAAGCTCAGCGGGTTGGTGGGAATGGAAGTCGAGAGCGGGATTCAATGCCGGGTTGTCCGCGGAGTGTCGTAGTTTAGCGATTTTTTCGGCCTGGTTGTATTTCTTTATTGGATAATCTGAGAACTGTTTTTTTATGCAGTCTTGGGAGCCCGAGTCCTCCTGTTCTTCACCACCACGGGCTTCTGGCGGAGATTCTCACTCCTCCAGGTCATGGTTGTCCCAAAAGTGCTTTTTCAAAAAGACAACTGGACTTTGTTTTTGCTTGAAGACGTTTCGTTTCTCGTCCAAGAAGCTTCTTCAGTTCTGACTGAGTGGTGGAAGAGTGTTAACGACCAAGATGATTGCAAGGAATATAAATCCTTCCATTCAGTCAGAACTGAAGAAGCTTCTTGGATGAGAAATGAAACGCCGGTTCAAAAAGCACTTTTGGAACAGCCAGAGCTTAGCTGGAATGGACGGAATTTTCAGCTTTTTTATTAGCAGTTAAATAAAATCCATTATCAAAATGTTCTATGTTGCCTTATAGTCAAGTTCCTACTTCGAAAAAGGAGATCCAAAATTTAAAAAAAACATCCACAGCATGATGGCAAAAACAGTGCTCTTGATTAATAACCGTATCATCTTGGTGAACTTTCAGTCAGGAGTGATCCCACTGATTTCCGAGTTTACCCTTGATAACCATATTGCATCATTTTGTCTGAAGCTCTCTGATTTTTTTTTTAATCTTAATGGATGTTTAAAACACAAGATAAATGAAGGGGAAAAATAAAAATGTACAAGCATTATAAGTAAAAAATGTACTGATCCTTTTGGACAAACATTTTCAAAGTACATTGATCATGGTATTATATTGACTTAGGGTGACTTTCCCGCCGCCTTGAACGAGGCGGTGGTGAGGCCTCTCCTCAAGAAGCCTTCCCTGGACCCGGCAATGTTGGTAAATTATCATCCGGTCTCCAACCTTCGCTTCGTTGCGAAGATTGTTGAGAGTGTGGTCGCGCAACAGCTCCCCCAGCACCTGGATGAAACGACGTATCTAGATCCGTTCCAGTCGGGCTTCAGGCTTGGGTACAGCACGGAAACGGCATTGGTCGCGTTGGTAGATGATCTCTGGAGGGGATGCTCCTCTGTCCTGGTCCTGTTAGATCTCTCAGCGGCTTTTGATACCATCAACCATGGTATCATGCTGCACCGGCTGGAAGAGTTAGGGGTGGGAGGCACTGTGTTGCGGTGGTTCTCCTCCTTTCTGACCGGTCGCAGTCTGTGTTGACAGGGGGGCAGAGGTCAACCCCGAGGCCCCTCATATGTGGGGTGCCGCAAGGGTCGGTCCTCTCACCCCTCCTGTTCAACATTTATGTGAAGCCTCTGGGCGAGATCATCCGTGGTTTTGGGGTGAAGTACCACCAGTACGCTGACGACACCCAGCTGTACATCTCCACCCCAGACCACCCCAACGATGCCCTTGAAGTGATGTCCCGGTGCCTGGAGGCCATGCGGATCTGGATGGGGAAGAATAGGCTCAGGTTCAACCCATCCAAGACCGAGTGGCTGTGGTTTCCGACGTCCCGATATAGTCAGTTGGTGCCATCACTGACTATTGGGGGCGAATCATTGGCCCCCACGGAGAGGGCACGCAACATGGGCGTCCTCCTGGATTCACGGCTGTCTTTAGAAGAGCACTTGACGGCCGTGATCAGGAGGATTTTTCATCAGGTTCGCCTGATTTGCCAGTTGCGTCCCTTTCTGGATCGGGACTCGTTACACACGGTCACTCATGCCCTTGTCACCTCCCGCCTGGACTATTGCAATGCTCTCTACATGGGGCTCCCCTTGAGGAGCACCCGGAGGCTCCAACTGGCGCAGAGTGCGGCCACGCGGGTGGTAATGGGAGCGACATGGCGTTCCCATGTAACACCTCTCCTGCGCGAGCTGCACTGGCTCCCAGTGGTCTTCCGGGTGCGCTTCAAGGTTTTGGTTACCACCTTTAAAGCGCTCCATGGCTTAGGACCTGGGTACTTGCGGGACCGCCTACTACCACCAATAGCCTCCCACCGGCCGGTACGCTCCCATAGAGAGGGGCTCCTCCGGGTGCCATCGGCCAAACAATGTCGACTGGCGGCCCCCAGGGGGAGAGCCTTCTCTGTGGGGGCACCTACTATCTGGAACGAGCTCCCCCCAGAGATACGGAGGATCCCGGATCTGCGCACCTTCTGCCGCGCTTTAAAGACCTTATTATTTCACTGGCCTAATTTTCTCCCTCTTTCATAAAAGATTTTTAATTTTTAAATATCTTTTAGTATTTTATACATTCAATTTTAAAATTGGTTTTAAATAGTTCGGGGTTTTAAATTTGTCGGAGCCAAAATTATTTAATTTGATTTTATTCTACTTTTAAATTTTGTATGGATGTGTTTTATTGTTTGGCTGTGCACCGCCCTGAGTCCTTCGGGAGTAGGGCGGTATAGAAATTGAATAAAATATAATAAAAAATATAAATATATAATATATTTTGTTTTGTTTCTAAATTATTTTAACTGCTTTGCTGTTTGGGGGGGAATTAAAATATTTCAAATAAAAAGACATATAAATAATGCAAACTAAATTTTTGATAAATGTATGTGTAAGTAACATTCTCATACTAAAGTATAACTACATTACGGTAACTAATATATGGACTGCCTGAGTCTCAGAATATGTACATAAGTGGCATAAGTTTATGTGCAATCCAGTGGTGGGTTGCCCCCGGTTTGCACCGGTTCTATAGAACAAGTAGTAAAACCGGCGGGAGGCTCCACCCACCGACCCCAACATCATCAAAATGCTTCTGCGCTGCGAACTGGTAGTAACCCACCCCTGGTGCAATCCTTTGTTAAATTCAGAATATCAGAAACCGGGAATAGCGGTTTGACGTCGCCGCGAGACAGCCAGGTAAATAGCGGGCTCTGAGGAGTCCCACGAAAAACCTGACTGCTGAACTGCCACCGATGGGTCTTCGGACCAGAACTGTCCTGCAGGGACGGGGTAGGAAGAAAGGCGCCTCGGATGACCAAGAGGAACAGGCAAGTTCCTTGGAGGTTGGAGGGAAATCTCTGTGAGTCAACGGTGAGGGGCGGCAGCCATGGCGGCTGCCACGAAGCTGGGACAAACCGAACTAAGAGACGGGCAGGAAGAAAGAGGAAAAGAACAAAGCTCTTTGAAGCCGGTGAGTGACACTAACCTAGGCTTGAAACAATGCTAGAGCAACTATCATTACTTGTAAGACCCCTAGCCTAAAACAGAGGCTGTGGATTTGAGAGGCATAGAAGATCTTGAAAAGTAATTTCAGGAGGAAAAGACCCACTAGGAAATTTATTTTGATATAGATTCAATTGGAACAATTAAACACTAAGGCATGCTGAGAAGACTGGGAAAAGAACTTTTATTGATTTATATGGGGATATGTCTGATGTAAGAATTGTCTCAATGTTAAATTGCAGAAAAACTGAGAATGATAATATGATTAAACATGAATAACTAATGTATAGGTGGAAGGTAAAATAAAAAAGGGGCTTACGCAGAGAAAAACAGTAAAATTAAGAATATGCGTAATGAATATGCTGGAAACAGTCAAATAACAGATGAATATCCTGGGAAACAGTCAAAATAATAGATGGAGATTTTTTTTTTCTTGGGTGTGATAGTAAAATAAAGATGAATAATGTTGGGAAACAACCAAAACAATATGAATATGCTCGGAAACAGCCAAAACAGTAGATGATTATGCTGGAAAACAGCCAAAATAATATGAATATGCTGGGAAACAGCCAAAACTATAGAATATGCTGGGAAACAGCCAAACAATATAAATATGCTGGTAATCAGCCAAAACAATAGACGACTATGCTGGAAAACAGCCAAACAATAAATGAATATGCTGGAAAATAGCCAAAAGAAGATGATCAAGAGACAAATAGTTAAAATAAATATGATTTAAGATGGAATTGATAGTAAAATGATTATGTTGCGATTAGTATTAAAAATAAAGGTGACTGTTGACATGAATAGTAAAATGAAGATGATAAGATTGTAATAATGAAATGACTGTGTAAAATGAAGAGTGTAATGTGTGATAAGTGGGATAAATTAAAAGAGATTAGGATTTAAAGATTTAAGGTAATGGGTCCTAGGATATGGGTATATAGATAGAATTTAGGGTAATAATTGTAATTAAATATTGAGTTGTGTTATTTGGAAATTAAGATTTGTGGTAATATAATAGAAAGGTAAATTTTTAGATTAAGAAATTATAATTGTGAGAAAAATTTCTGTTTTGGTTTTTACTTTAAAAGATGTAATGGTGGAGATTTGACAAACAGCTTGACAAAGAGGGGTAAGCGATTGTACCTATTCATGACCGGATCAGTTCTCCATTCTTAAAAGATGTATTTTATGTTTATGTTTTAAAAAAATAATTTAAAAAATTTCCCCCCAAAAAAACGGGAACAGTAAATCCACTGTTAAAGTGGGAGATTTACATTTGGTGCTAAGTGCTAGTTAGCACTGACAGCCTACCGTAGTTAAACAAACTACAGTTGGCTGGCTGCACAAAATTTGCTAACGCATAAATCTAAACTACAAGAGTTTATCTAAACCAAAACCAAATGTTATTAATTCTAATAAGTGCAGTATAAAAGTGTTGCCCTATAACCTGGCTTGCACAATATGCAAAAGCACACAGTAATTTTGTTAGGCTCAGTAGGTTATGCAAGCTTAGACTGCATCTTAATTGTGGCTAGTCAAAATTTGAGTCTTTCATTCTTAAACCATCTTGCCATATAGCACTCTAATCCAGATGGGCGGTTGACCTGTCACTACATCTTTCTTCTATTATTTAACTTCCCCCAATGTATAGGGGTCTAAGAGAAATACCATAGAAGCAGGTGTTACCTCCATCTTTCCACATTTCATAGGCATTG